TCTGTCCTCCTTACCATATTTGGAGGATTTGTCAATGTTTGGCAGTTTCCCTCCATCGTTGTTTAGTCCAAAGATTAGACCAACATCATTAGGTGTTATTCCTCTTGCGTCAAGATCTCCAAATATGAACTTTTGCTCTTTGGGGTCGTAGCAATTTATAATCATAATTAAGTCTATACTGGACTTCTTCTTCCTTTTGGTTACAACAAGGAAGTGATCCATGTAGAGTTTAATAAGACTCTAGAATCGTGTCTTTTTCAACTATTCGCAAACATCTTTGCGGTCTTCAAGCATTGGCTTGTCAATTTCCATTGAGTCTGAAAACCCGGTCATATTGCATCGATATTGGAGATATATACTCCGATATATTTTCTTCTTCTCAGTTGAAGTTTTCTTCTTATACACTGGAGTTTTCTTCTTCTCCATTGTTGGTTTCTTTGCAAAAGTCTTCCTTCTAATTTTCTTGATTACCTGCATTTGTAAAAATGAACAAAGCTTAGGAATTATAATTAACTATTCAAGAAGAACAACCATAATATAGATTGAAGAAAACGGATAGTCAACGGTCAAGTTTTTACACAAATCAAACTATTTCTGGATCTAAATCATAATAAGAGACATTGTGTTTGGAAAAGTAGCAAACAATCACACTGTTTCTGAATCCAATGTTTATTTTTTGTTGGATTTTTCAGAGTCAGTGCTAGGTTTTACAAATTAAACTGTTTTTGGATCCAAATCATAATAAAGGACATTGTGTCTAGAAAGTAGCAAACAATCACACTGTTTCTGGATCCAAATCATAATAAGGGACATTGCGGTGGTTGGATTTTGGTTCTTTTCTTTTCAGATACAGTATTTGTTTGTACATCGACAAAACAAACTCTGATTGTTTTTTTAGAAACAGTGTTATGTTTTGGGTTCTCCAGAAACAGTTTTATGTTTTGGTTCATTTTCTTCCAGAGACAGTGTTAGTTTTTATATAAGGGAGCAAATTGTTTAGGGATTCAAATCATAACAGGTCGCATTGTTTTCTAAAAAAGTGGCAAAACAATCATACTATTTTCTAGAAATGTTTAACTTTAAGAAGTGCGTGAAAGTTTAACAGGGATAAGATTATTAACTTTTCTTTTTTTTTTCCGGTTTTTTCCGACGGTGGTTCTGGTGTGGTTTGCACTTTTTTTTTTTTTTCGGTTTGTTCCGACAGAGGTTGTGGTAAAGTTTGGACTTCTTTTTCTCCAGTTTGTTCAAGTAGAGGTTCTAGTAAGTTTTGCACCACTTTTCGAGGTTTTGTTCCGACGGAGGTTTTGGTAAGTTTTGCACCACTTTTTTGCCGGTTTCTGCCATTGAACTTCTGTGAACTTGTTTCGGCGGCTTTGTTCCGATGAATGTTTCTTTTTTCAACTTTGATTTGAACTTTGATTTGGTTGTTTTTGAAATGGGGGAATTCGATTTGATAAGAAGACAGGGAGTTATTATGGCGGTTTCGTGTTGGGTTAAGGTTGGTGAAGAGTCAGGACAATATTGAATGATTTAGGGGTATTTACGGACGTGTAGATTTGTAGTGGGTTGGGCTTATAAGTTTGGCATGTGGACAATAGTTTTGGATGATTTTTTATTAAACCTTGAGCCCTTTTGGTAAATAACATTTTGGGATGGTTTTTTATTAAATATTTGTTGGCCCAAACCCTTTTCATTAAAGCATATGATAAGTAATATTAAATGTTTATATTACGAAGAAAACATATAAACTCTTGAAAATTATAAAATGCTACTATTAATGATATAAAAGTGAACATTTAATTTTCATATTTAACAATCCATGATTATTAACAACTCCATTTATATAATAAATATTTATATTTTTTATAATTAAATGAAACGGTTTGGTTTTGGGTATGAAATTGGGGCGGATACCCCAATAACCATAACTGAATCCGAAACCGAAAAAATCTGACAGTTACCCATAATTGTAAAATATCCCAAATTTGATGCCTGAAACCATACCGTTCAGATCGGTTACCTGTGGGGATCGGATTTGATGAGTTAAATTATCGCCTTACTTCCAGTATAGTAAGGCCCCCTAAGCGATAGGCAACTCAATTCCCTTAAATGAATAGTAACTGTCCAAGTACATTTTCACCTCTAAACTGAATAGCTCAAACAATTCGTATTAAATAATAATTTTTTATTTTATAAAATAATAAAAGATAACTTTATTTTTAATTTCGAATAATAATAAAAGAGTATTTAAAAATATTGAAATGTAGTGTAAATTGGAAGAAAATAGTTAGGTATTTATTAAAAAAAAATTAAAATTTTTTATATTTTAATTAGTTTTTCATAATTTTTTATATTTAAATAATTTTTTTTATAATTTTTTAATAATTTAAATTGTGAGTGACATCATCATGACGTCAACCTTGCGTCACATAAACAAGGCGTTGGCCTAGGCAATTATTGCTTGACTTCTCCATTGGTCTCACCTTGAGCCCAATTACCCGAGTGGACTAGAGTGTTCTGAAAGGGGAGAAGTGGATTGGGTTGCCTATTCCCAAGACAATAAGCAATGGTTGAGTTGCTCTAAAGTCGATGGGTTTTCTAGGGAGAATCGTCTAGAAGGAGCTAGGCTCTTTTGGTACATTTTTTTTTTTTTTTTTAAGTATATCAATATTTTTACACTAGGAGAGTTCGGTTAATCCACACAATGGATAACCAAATTCGGTATCAAATTCGTTATCCATGAGATTCGAACCTAAAATCTTTTATTTTAAGTAAAGACTTAGCGACAGAATTTATGCAGAAATTTGGTGCATATATTATCCGCGCTGCTCTTCATGCTTTCCCACCCAATTTTTAGGTGTTCATTTGCTCTTTTGACACAATATCTCTTCAAATATTTGTTAGTTGTTCATTATTTTATTTTGCCGGTGGGAAATGAGTGCTACAAGGTTCCTTGATAATCTCTCAATTTTAAAACGCAACACATGCTAATAATATACTCGTAACTGCAATTCTAGGGTAACAGAGTATATACAATGACATGAGCAATTAAATCCTTTTTTGATACACAAAATTACATTAGGAGATTTTATCATTGAAGAAATTGTTACAAAATGAAACCCTAGTCCACTCTCTCACAAACTTCAGATTACAAAAAAACATTAAGTCATCAGATTCTACATCCAACCTAATCAGAAGACAAAAACAATTACGTCATTTGTTTATACAGGGAAATCACGGTCGAACAAATAGAGAAAGACCTTTGAGAAACTCAAGAGGGCCATATAAGAACGTAGGATAATGAAACTGTCAGCATAAATCATGATTCTACGTCGCCATAGCTGTGCCCTCAAGCTCTGCAGGAGTTTGTGATTTTACAAGATTGGAAGAGGCGTACGAATATTTATAGTTGGTTTGTGTTCTTGAAACCCTAGCATGCTGGTGGGCTGGTGATTCTATTTTAGGGGCTCATATATTGGGCTTTACCTGATGTCTATCCATATCATGTTGGGCTACCAACTCAATATTTGGCAGATGTCCTATCCATATCAGTAGTTATGTGGCTTTAGTCTCTGAAGTGTTATATTGGTCCCAATCTACTTCCATTTTCTACTCTTTCACAGTCGATATGATGATATTTTAAAGCCTAAGATGTTTTCATTTCCTTCAATTTTAATTCTCTGGTTTCAACTCAATCAAGGCATGATTGATTTTGTGGTGGTTGGTGATTCCTCATTGTGCTCTTCCTCAACAAGAGATTTGGGAACAAACACCAATAATGACATACATTTAACGATTGAATGTGCGTCCAAGAATTCAAGATAATTTAATGACCAAATGGAAGACCATTCAAGATGGGCTAAGAGGATCTTCAATGGAAGACCCTATTTTAGGGTCTCCACCAGTCTTTTAGGGACTTCAAGAGAATATTCGAGGTGCCTAAAGGTAAAGACTAAAATATTAAAAAAATCATTGTTAATTTTGTTGGAGTATTGTGTCTGTTGATAAAAACAAGAAAAAAAACCAAAAAGCTATCTCTACTATTTGTTTCCCAATAGTAAAAAAAAAATGTTACAAGTTCTGCGTGGGGCCTGTGACTAATGCTGCATCAGCAACTGTTAGCGGGTAAGAGAGTGAGATAATCTATTGTACAACATTCACAAGGATGAGGTTTGTTTCCCACTCAAAATCAACATTGGGCCCCCTCTTTCGGTCTCTAGGTAGTCTTCATTTGTTGGCATTTTTACACAACCTTCGGTTAGTCCCTCTACTATTGGGACTAGAGCTATGTTCCATTGAAAACCACAAAATTCTTAAAGTTAAAGACACACGGTGGTAGGGGGGTTTCTTTCCCACTCAAAATCAACATTGGACCCCTCTTTCGGTCTCTGGTAGTCCTCATTTGTTGGAATTTTTACACAACCTTAGGGTAGTCCCTCTACTATATAGACTAGAGCTCTGTTCCATTAAAAGCCACAAAATTCTTAAAGTTAAAGACATACAGTGGTAGGGACAATTTTTAGAGCATCATTAAAGATGCTCTAAGGAGCTTGCTCCAAATTCAGTTTCAAAACCATTACCAAATAGATGGAATCAATTTAGACTGATTTCCCTGTTTGCCCTTTATTTTTCCATATTCCTAGAGGATCTCAGTCCCAGTCCTTATTCCCACAAGTTATTATGCCATAATATAAAGAACTAAAAAAAAAAAGTGAGATAGAATATATTTAGCAGCGCAAGGTGCAAACAAATGGTAATTGCAGACCATAACTAGCAAACTCTAGTATTTCTAAGAGCTTGCTATTTCTATAGTTTATGCTTTTTCAAGTATAATAACCGTGTAAGAATTTTTTTAATTAAACAATTCTCGTACACAAGATTTGAACTCAAACCTCGTCTAACAAGCCAATCATTTATAGCGCTAGATTAAGTCAGTTAGTCTCATATTTGTATGCAGGGTCTCTCTTTTTGGGTATATAATATGGTATACAAAAGCGAAGTAGAAATTGGGGGATTTTTACACTAATTTTGGAAAAGAGGAAAACAATGGCTTCAATTAGGAATTACAGAATTCTTTTCCTTTCCATACCTTGAGAAACTAATCTCCCTGTTGAAGTTGATCTCTTCATCACAAGAGGACCCTTTACCAAGCTGAAAACTCCACTACTTCTAGGGCTGTTACTGGATTTGAAATTCTGTTCTTGATCAACTCCTTTTGATGATCCAATTTCCATGGAAAATTGGGCACTTCCCATCTGATTTTCCAAGTCCTCATCATCATCTTCACTATCATGCAAATGCAACACATCGGCAATGGAAACTGATCTCCTCAACTGCTGCTGGATCCCATGATCTTGTTCAATCTCACAACTACTCACTCTACTCTCCAACTGACTAACAACCTCTTCCGAATTATCTTGAACCACCAAAATATTTTCATTACTCCTATGTTGGTATTCCGAAGCGGACACATTCACCTCCTCCTGTGGATTTTCTTCGACCGGAGGCAGGCGCTAGTTGCTGATGAGGAACTAGAGCAATGGCAGGAGCAGAAATGTTTGAACGACACAGTGGACAGCTGGAGTGAGATTTGAGCCAAGTATCAATGCAAGGAACATGGAAAGCATGGCTACATTTCGGCAACAGCCTCAGGCTCTCATTTTCTTCAAACTCACTTAAGCATACCGAGCAGTCTGTGCCTTCCACAAGCTTATCACCTTTCTTGTACTTGTGAACCATGATGGACTTGATCAGGGACTCATCCAGACCGTTATTTGAGCCTTGCCTCGATTCACTAACTAGGTTTGGATTCGAACTGTCCATGTTCATGTCTTGAGCTCCATCGCTTCCTCTTTGCCTGCGGTATTTGGATATAACGGTGTAGTAAGTGACTAGAATGAAGGCACTAGCAAAGATGCCAATGATTGCTATAATGAGAGGAGAAAGATCTGTTGGAGAGTCGTGGTTTTGGTCATCGGCTTCGGTGAAATCGAGTGAAGGAGGTGGGGGGCCAATGATATAGCACCATTTAGAGCAGTAGATGCTGCAAATCCCTTGGGAACAATCTTTGTATGAGTCATATGGTGCCCATGGATTTTGGTTTCTTGCAGAGCCCATATGACCAAAAAAACTCAATAACCCTAGCTACTACCGGATCTTGCAAGTCCTCTTTTTCTTAATTTGGTCACTCACTTTTGCTTTGCTTTAATATAATGTTTCCTGAGGGAGAGAGAGAGAGAGAGAGAGTGTGTGTGTGTGTGTGTGGGGTTAAAGAAAAAGGAGAAAAAACGAAAAAAATAAAAAAATAAAAGAGAAAAAATGAGGGGGTTGGAGGAAAATAAAAAAATGAGGGGTTGGAGGAAAAGGGAAGCAACGTAGGAGGGGAGAGGAGAGGAGAGAGGAGGGTGGATTATTGTTATGTGTCTCCCTTTTATTCCACCACTTTTTATTTAATCTGTTATTCTTTTTGTTTGGAATTATTTATGGGAGGTGATGGCTTGTTTTCCTGTCAATTTGGAAGTATATGATTGGTAGTTGAGTTCGTGATCCAATCCAAATCTCTCTAGTCGGTGAATATAGGTGAGAGGACATCTGACCAAAAGTAAAGAATATCGGGATGAGGAGAGTGGACTCTTTGCATTTTTATATGCATAGCTACACAACACTTCCAACTAACTCAACCCCCGGCCTTCTTGTATGTGGCCCTTTACTACAATGATGAAAATGTATCAAGCATTTGCATGATGGTGTGAGTTAAAATTTTACTGGTAATTAATGTAATATCTAATTTAACAAAATTTATTGTTTGACCAAAAATAAAAAAAAACCACGACCTTCTTGCCACCTTTAAAAAAGGACCAAAGATTTTTTCGTAAATTAAGATGTGAACCTCAATTGTTAACAGAGCTCATTACGAGAGTTTTATTAACAATTTTTTTACTATGAGGGTCATATTAAAGTGTGATAACACCACATGGACCACAAAAAAAAAATTGGCCTAATTTAATTTGTTGAAACATTTTGTATTCTTCATTTTTGAGAAAATAAAAATAGTTTATGTTTAGTTACCATGACAACTTAGTGAAAGTCGCCAATTCCTATAGTAGATGTTGGTTTTGTATTTTATTTGTCGAAGGTTAGTTACTGATGTCGACAATCATTATTTTAGTTTAGCTCAAAATGGTCCCTAAGTTTTACTCTATCGGTCAGTTTGGTGTCTATTTTTTAATTTGGTCAAATTGGTCCTGATGTTTACCTCTATTAGCCAATTCTAGACATTCCGTTAAAGGATTGTTAAAATTGACATGTGCTTTGCATGTGAGATGGTCATCGTTGATCATTTGATCTTGCATGGTTTTAGTGATTTAGAGGGAAGTTATATTTATGTCCTCTCACATCCAAGGCACATGTCAATTTTAATGGTTCTTTAATTGATAGTTTAGGATTGGCTAACGAAAGTAAATACAAAAATCAATATGGCTAAATTGAAAACACAAAAATCAAATTAACTAATAGGATAAAACACATCGACTATTTTGACATTTAAACCTAAATTTAATTCTATAACAAATATTGGTCATATTTGAGAAATAATTAATTTTCAATGGCCATTTAATTTTATAACATTAGTCTCCACTTGTTAGAAGACTTTGTCCGACAATGGCGCCCCTGTCAAATAAAACGAAAGAGGATTTTTAAAGATAAGTTTAGGGAATATTATTGTAGTGGAGTATTTTTAGGTGTAATTGTTATCATTACCATATGGGATACTGATCAACTCGTATTATATATGTGTGTGTATATATATTCAAATAAATATGTGTTGTTGTCTCATATTTAACACATAAATTAATACCATTATACTACGTGCATGACAATATTACAACACAAACAATAATTTCTCAATGCTACTTTCATATACTTACTTTATCCTATATAAGGTATTGTTGAACAAAAAATACCCTACAAGGCTTTAGGGATTACTTAATTTGAAAGGAGTTGTCTCCCTAAAATAAAATAAAAACGTTATTTGAGTTAAGGTTGTAGCAAATTGAGTGTGAGATGTTTACCCTCCGCTGACGTAGGCAGGGCTTACGAGGCCGGCGTTGGATACAATGATTATCCCTTTCTATTAAACAAATTAGCAATAAATCCTAAACTAAAACTTTTAGAAATGTTAGTAATAATAAAATATTTAAATCCGCAATCATTTTTTTTACTTAAGACAGAAATGTGATGCGAGTAAAGAACGTGTAAGTTGTAACTAGAGATGGACAAAATATCCACAGGTATGGGTAACAGCGATTATCCGCCTATTTAAAACTCACGGTTATGATTATAAACAATCGTTTAGATAAATAATGGTTATGGGTATAACCATTTACCCGTGAAATTTAAATGGATGATTATGGGTATCACTTATAAACAGATACCTATTTAACCATTTATTTAATATATGTAAAATTAAAAAAAAAAAAATTTAGTTTCTAGCCTAATTTAGTATCTCGAGACATAAGTGGTTATAAACGGACCATGTGTGTTTGTGTGTGTATATATATATATGTATGTATATATGTCTCACTTGAGAGAAAAATATAAGTGATTGAACCGGCCTATGTTTAATGTATGTAATTGAAAGTGCTAAAGTATTAGAGTGTTTGAAAGTTTTGTTTCTAAATATTTTAGAACTTTGAATTACCAAATATTCAAGATAATGATTACTTGAACCTTTAGAAGCATGTCATTGCCGACTAATGCAAACATATATATATATTTATTGTGACAGCCCGTCCCGGACTTTTCGTACCGTAGGGGTGAAATGACGATTTTGCCCCTATCATATTTGTTTCGTTGTGTGGTTGTTTTTGGATTTTGTTTGGCTGGTTTTGGACCACACACACTCTCCCACACCCCCTCACCCTTTTTCTTGTCCCGTATCCCTGTCCCTTTCTCTCTCTCTCTCCCATTTCTATCCCCATATGCATGGACACACCCAAAAACCATTGGAACCTTCACAGATCGAGGAAACAAATTACATATTCGTGCTCGTGAGGTCCTTAGGAGTTCAACCATACCTATTTCAAGTAAGATTACCTTCGTTTTCACGTCGAACTCGGGATCCCCCGATTTGGTTACTGTTCATGCACACGTTAATTCTTGTGTTTTTGGAAATTTCAAGCTTGTAGGAAGCTTGGTGAGGTCCTTAGGAGGCTCAGGGTGGTTCGTTTGAAGATTTTGGACGTCGGGATCGTGAGTTACAAGCTTGGCCGGAGTTGGTGGTGTTGTCTCAGCGAGTTTCCGTGGGTTTTAGTGCTTGAAAGTGGTATGGATTTGTTCCTCTTGTTGTAAGCTTCATTTTGGTACCAATTTTGTGAAATTTGGTTCAAAAACGAAGAAGATACAAGGTTTTAAAGTTTTTCCAGTTTTCTGGCGCTGTCGCCGGCGCCGGAGTTTGGCCGGAGAAAATGACGAAATATTCCGTCAATTTGGACAGAATATTCCTAACGGCATTAACGGCATCAGTTAGATTTAACGGAATATTCCTGACGGCGTTAACTGACGCCGTCAGTGTGCCAGGCACGTGCCTGCGTGTGGGCGGTGCGTGTGGCCGTGCCTTAGCCGGCATGTGGGGGCGCATGCTGCGTCGGAAAATTTTTCTAAAAATATGGGCATGTTCCTGAGGTTAAGTAGATCACGTTGGTGTATTCATACACCCTATTTGAGCATTGTATGAGAAGTTATTTCGTGATGTTGGTTATGTGTTTTAAAATTAACGTTTTTATAGTTGTTTCGCATATAGGTGAGACCTATCCCGAGGACGAGCCCGATCACTCGAGGCAAGGGGGTTACGACCCTTCTACATACCAGTGAGTGGGCTTTTGGTTTTCCATATATACCTATATACTTATGTTTTTCCCAGAAAGTGAATGGAAACATTTATACATTTATATGCCATGCATTATGTTTGCCGTTTGTTTATGTATTATTAGTAGCATATATATGTTTGTATGTTGGTGCTGCGGGCGCACATGTAAGTGCTAGGTGAGTATGGTTTATGCTTATGTTCAGTAGTGATTTGAGATGTATAGAGAGCTTATAACCTGCACCCCCGGTGTTAGTGCTCCAGCCCATAGTTAGGCACAGTCCTTCACGTAATGTTCACCTCCCGCACCACACACTCATCTTGGATCCAAGTTAGGTGCACAGTCCTGTCGTACAGACCACTTTAGGTGGTTTCGACTCGTAGGTGACCCGCAATTATTCGCCCAGCCTTCACGTGATCGTAGCACTTGAGCGTACTTATTATACACCCAGTCCTGTCGTACAGACCACTCTAGGTGGTTCTGACTCGTGTGCAGGTATAGTTAGTGAGTTGGAGATTTGAGCTCTAGATTCAGCCGTACAGGTCACGTTAGGTGACTCCGGCTGACAGATTACATAGCATTGATTTGACATTTCCTGAGCACTTGCATTCTATTTAGAGACCTTTGACATGGCATATTTTCGAGCATGATTTATATATATGTATATATCCTATTTTTCTAGGAAGTGTACAGGTTTTACGGCGAGAGGTTAGAACTTTGTTTATGAAATGGTTTTTCACAAAACTTTGTTTTTGCCCACACATACTTTCTGTTTTGCGCCCCTCCAGGTTCTAGTTGGCTAGCACTTTTGGTGGCTCCCCAGAGGATTTCCCCGGCATATCTGACAGATTATCACCAGTGTAGGACCACCTTTGGGTGTGTTTTTGTAGCGTTGTTTCTCCCAGACTGCATTAGGTCTTCGTGCTCTGAACTTTGTTTTCACACTTACGCTTGCACATGTATGTTCTTACGTTGTGTATAGCTGGTTTTTATTTATTCGTACTTTTATTATTATTTTATTAGCTTCCGCACTGTGCACATGGTTACGTCACTTCCACATGACGGCTAGCATGCCTTGATCTCGGTCGGGATGTGTCATTTATTGGCCTTGATTTTTCAATAAACTAGCCTTTCTGCATGCGCTTAAGCGCGTGTGAAAGGCATTTTTTTAATCACGGCACACTACGCGCGATTTACACATTGTAGATGTATTTATATGCAAGGATTGGTTCAATACGTGCGTGTGAATGACATTTTTTTAATCACGGCATGCTACACGCGACTTACACATTTTAGATGTATTTATATGCGAGGATTGGTTCAATGTATAGAAACATAAAATAAAGGCGATTATCATCTCTAATAATACAGGTAGGAATTTAAAGTATTTTGTCTAGAATATGTAAAAAAAAAATAAATAATAAGGTAATAAAATAACAGAGAAGA